CCATGTGTCGTCCTTCCCCTTTTTCGCCCAGGCGAATGGGTAAATCTACTCGTCCCAGTGGGTGGACGACTCCTCCTCCAAACCCTATTAAAGGGTGGGAGGCCGGATGTATGCAGTCCGTCTGATATTTCAGTTTTGACAGACATTTGCTGCTGATGAGATCTGAGGAGCTCCCGGTATCTATGAGGATTCGGCCAACTCTCTGGTTGGCCACTTTACATTCAATCACGAGAGGGTCGTCATGCGGCCCCCTTACCCCTCCTAGATCCTCTTCTGTGATGACAATCTCAGGAAATGTATATTTGGACGGCCGTTCTTGGTGAACGGAATTTACATCTAACCGCCTTATATTATCTTTGTTGCCCCTAATAGTGGGGCCGCCTCCTGAGAAGCCGCCTGCAATGGTGTAGACGACTGCATCATCTGTATCGGAGCTGTCGGCCTGTTGATTCTTTTTGGCCGATTGCTTTTTTGAGAAAGTGTTCCCCGTAGATTTCTTGACATAAGTGTCAAGATCACCTTGCTCAGCCAGGCGGTCTAGGTACCGCATGAGACTGATGCAATCATTGGTGTGATGACCAACGTCATCATGATAAGCACAGATTTTATCTTGGTTCCGGTTGTTTGCAGAACCCTTCATGGGGACCGGCTTCTCAATTGAGATCCGTCCCTTTATTTCTTTTAGGATAAACTGGTTATCCTTGTTAAACACATACTTTGGGGAGTATGGTTTGAATTCTTTTTTCTTTTTCTGGGCCGACTGTTTAGAGGAATCAGCCGCCCAGACCTCTTTTCTTTTCTCATCTTTGTTAGACGACTGTTTCTGTCGTCCTTCTCTTTTGTCGAACCTTTTCCCGTCCGACTGTTTTATCATACACAGATCAGTCGCCTGTATATAGGCTTTTGCTTCAATCAAGGCCTCTTGAAGAGTCGCCACCCTTTTTCGAACTAAATCAAATTTGAAGGTAGACCCGTCTTTGAGACCTCTAAAAAAGTCAGTATAAGCTACCTCATCCGGTAACCCTTGAATCTGTATTCTCATCAGGTTGAACCGCCTGATGTAAGAACGAAGCCCCTCCTTCTCGCCCTGCTAAATTGTTCCCAAATCAAGGGTCGTTTTCTTCGCAGGGATGTTCATGGCGAAGTTGGAGGCAAATAAGTAAGCAAGCGTCCTGAAGCTGTTTACACAACCAGTCGGCAGGTTGCCGAACCATTGTTGTGCGATTCCCTTGAGAGTCGCTGGGAAACACTTGCACCAAGTGGGATCATCCAACCCTTGAAGGTACATCAGGTTGGTGAATGCCATCAGATGGTCTTCTGGGTTAGTAGTGCCGTCATAGGCGCCTACTAATACATTTTTTACTTTGGCCGGCTGAGCGGCTTCAGTAATTTCCTTGGAGAAGGCCGACGGCTGTTCACCAAGTCTAAGCAACCGTAGCTGCCAGTCCATAGGTTGGACGTTTTTTGCTGCAGGTCCACCAAATGGAGGTGGCTGCATAAAATATTGTTGTTGCGGCACAAATGGTAAGTTTGGTACCGCCTGGGCACTATGAAAGCCGGACTGACGGGAGGTGCCGCCTGACTGACTCTCATGGTACGACTGAGTATGCCTCATCGAGGCATTTCGCAAACTGTCTTGAAAATTTGAAGTAGAAGCCGACTCTGACAATCGGTCACTCTTCTTCTGCTCTAGCAGTAGCCGAGCATCTGTGAACGTTTGCTTTGACCCGTCCGCCTGAATATGACGAACCGGTTTCCTATTTCCTGTAGGATAACGGAATTTTGTGAAATCAAGGGCAGGTGGCTCCCGCTTCCTAGATTTAGGATGAGGAGTCGCCTCTCGCCCTTGAACTGGCTTCCTCTTCTGTGAAGTGGAAGGTTTCTTGGCCGACTGCTCCTTGACTGAAGCAGGCGGCTTCTTGTTGATCAACTCTTGGATCTCTCCCTTGAAGTCCCTCATGAAGGTCATGAGTTCGTTCCTTGTGATGGGAGCAGACCCATCAGTCGGCTGTTGCCGAGCAGGCGGTGCGCCTGCTGGCTCGCTTCCTGTTTGAAGATGCTCCCGTTCCCTCCTTTCGGTATGACGGGTACGTCGGGCCCTTAGGGTCCCGTCTGGAGCTGTATGAGTTTCAACTTCAAATTCACTTTCAGTGTCATGGTCCGACTGAACTTGAGGGTCGTTTAGGGGACGCCTCTCTTCAGGAGTCGGTACAGACTTGGATGCCATCTCTGAAGTACTCTCCCCACAGACGGCGCCAAATGTTTCAGGGTTTTCTGATGTCCTGCGGGAGAGTTACAATTCCGAGACTGGAACCGGACGCCTGTACCTGCAAAATAAAGGAGACTCCTGAGAGCTCCGCCTCCAACGGTCAAGTTAGTACCTGATTAAGGAGTAATTAATACGGAAATTAAAGTAATAAGACCTCTCTAGGTGAGAGTGTTTAATGTTGGTAATCTGCTTTGTTAGCGAGATTAGCCGGTTATTAGTGTTCCGTAATGTTTCTGTTCTTCTCTCTTCTTCAGGTGAGATTAATTGCTTGATCAATTGCTCTCTCAATTGCTTGATCCCTTTTAATGAGGATTAATTAAGTATTTATAGTCTTGAGAAGCGTGCCACTCTCTAGGTTTAGGGTAAACCTAGGGCTGACCGGGCCTCTAGACAGGATTGGGCCTTGTTGGCCGGTTTTCCCATTTGGCATGGGTGGACACGTGGCGTGCCTCGATTGGTCCGTAGAGGACGTATCTGTGATTGACACGTGGCAGGCTCCTATTGGCCTACGTGAAGGACACGTGGCGGAACCTGGTTGGTCCACTTGTCAGACGGTGATTGGTGGATAAAAATCCCCTAATCACATATCATTTACTGGTTAAAAATTCCCTCCATTTTTCCTTTCCATTATTTTGGTTTTTTTTTCCGCAAAAAAAGTTTAAGAAAACTAATTATAACCCATAATATATCCTTTCCCGATTGACAATCATATTCCATATACAATCAATTGAAATATTTTTACAAATCTTTTATATATTTTATTAAAAAAAATGAACATATTGATCATCAAAATAATACTATTATCTAAGATTCATATATTTCACTTTACTATTTTTGCAATAAAACTTGATTTCAATTTAAAATAGAAAATTCATTTTAGTAACATATATATGCATATACTATATTTGTATTAATATATACAGCATAAGTATTAATCAAAATTTTCAATTTTTTTAATATAAAACTCTATACACCTTAAAAAGAAAATAAATAAATAAATAAAAAATTGTATACCTTTATTTACGTAAAGTATTATTATTATTTTTTTTACTGTGCCACGTGGCACTCTTCAAAGTATGTGTGCTATGTCACAATGCCACATCATCATCATATGCGCGCTAAATATGCTTTGAACAAGATTCGAATCCATAACCTCCAATACATATAAGTAATATTTTTACCATCTCAACCAACTATTATTAATATTTCAAATTTCACATAATATTATATATTCCTTTCATTTATTAAGTAGATTAGAAGTAATATAATTCATTTATTTTTCACAAGATTATAATATTAATACATATGATGTAAAAAAAAAAAAAAAAAAGTGACATCCGAAGCAACGCCCGAACCACTACACACACTAACTATACAAATAGTCGAACATAATGTTAAATTAAAGCAAGAAGTACACAAACTAGCAACCCAAGACATCGTCCGGGATACACACTAGTCTATTGTAAAAACATACAAAATATAGCAACGATTATAAAGGGATGATTTTGTGATTCTGAGTAGATTCCTGCCCCATATAACATTGAACATGAAGTGATGAAATCACAAACAACAAAGAAACACTGGAAACCAAAGATTCAAGGCAGTCAATAATATCCAAATACATTTAACTTGGCAGAATTCATCAATCTATTTTATTTGCTCTATATGATTAATCATTATCCTGTGCTGCTTCATTTAGAGAAATGTAAACGAATTTTGATATACTGAAATAGTTGTTTGTAATTCTACCCATGGCTGATCAAAGGGGTTACGGTTACGAGTTTAGGGCTTTAGGTACTTTTAGCATTTCTACATATGCCTGGATTTAGGCAAATTTGACTAGTTTATATTCAGCAATTCAGTTAGGGTGAATTTGCCTGTTTATTCTACATTTAAAACTCTTGTAAGAAATGATCATGAATAACAGAAGAGCCTTGTTTACGGGGAAATTTAGCAGCTGAATTATTTTCACAAAACGCAATAATCATACTTGCCCTTGTCATAAATGTGTTAATGATAAACAATGAGGTTACAAATTCATAAATCCAGGCATATTTTAACTAGTACTTTTTTTTTTACAGAAAATAAGCATTTTAAGAACATCAATGAAGAACTGGTTCGCAAAAAGATATACAGTCAAACAGCACCCTTCACATCCAAGTTTACAGTTTACAGCCTCATAACCATCAAGAAACACACCTAGGAAAGAAAGTTTGACCCACATAACCCCCAGCTATAGCTCTTCTCACATTGGATTCAAACATTTTTGGATTATCCCTCAACACAGCAGCGGCATCATGATTTAAAGGGTCTTCATAGTTTGGTTGCTGCACACAAATAAAATGCCACTATAATACAATGTATGTAGCAATAAAAGGAAAAAAAACATGTCCAGATAAAGGGAAATGTTAATACCGTGAAGAGGTGATACAGCCCATAGATGACAGTGTTTACATTCAAAACAGGTTTCCAGTCTTCTCTTAGAATGTTGAGACAGACATTACCTTCTAAGTCGATATTGGGATGGTATACCTGCCAGATGCATACAAGTTAGGAAAAAAATTTCAGAAATGCACATAACTAACAAATAAGTTATCATCTTATGTAGCATAAGACGGGTTTTCCATAGAGAATCACTCTATTTACCTTTGTCTTGCACTTAACCTTGGGAGGCTCATAAGGATATACAGATGGAACTTGGAAGGTAAACACAAACGTGCCGCCTCTGCAATCAAAAGTTTCCTTAGAATATCAATACGCTATGCATCTACTCTCTCTGTCTCTAAAAGTTCTTTCTAGTTTAATGGTGCGTGTCTCACAAAAAAAGAGTGGAGGGAGATGATAAGAAGAAAGAAACAAAGACTGCAAATGAAGCATAGCCAAATGAATTATAAATGAAGTACAATGATCCAAATAGAAATATACTAATGTAATTTTCCTCCACTCCGGCACATTTACTTCCTCTGTAACACAATACATGCATTGTTTGGACCTCTAACACTATTCGTTTTTAGCTTTGACTATATTTTTTTTTTTCTGATATAGTAAATTATAAATCAATGTGTGAAATGTTGTGTGAATAATTTCGATGTATACTAGCAAAAGTTTTTTTTTCTTTTTTTAACCTTTTATTCAATCAATCAAAGCCTTAACCCTTTATTAAATTTCATATTAAAAATATTTTGTTAGGCAAACGTAAAAGTCAAAATGATACGTTCAATGTGAAACGGAGAAAACATAAACATATAGATTTTGACAACTACCCCACAATTACAAGAAAAAAGAGAACAAAGAATAAAGCAATATTGATGGCTAAGAAATAACAATAATTTTAAGAAGGAAAAATTGCAAGGAAGGTCATTTTAAGTGGTCGACCTTGTAAGAAAGGTCCTTTTAAAAAAAAGGTGGCACAGAAGGTCCTTTTATGGCGTTTTGGTTGTGAGGAGGGTCCTTTGACCAAAATCCAGCGTTGACCCCGTTTTCCAGCCAAAAAAAGTCACGTGCACGTGACCACTTAAATCAGCCTTTTTTTTTTTCTTTTTTTTTTTCTTTTCTTTCCTCTTCATCTTCTTCCTCCCTTTCAATTCCACACCTCCATGAATGGCATTTCCGGCCACACATTCGCCCACCACACCTCCACCTCCGGCAACAAGGAACCCCATCCCTTTCCCCCTCCCTTTCAAATCATTCATTACAATGTTACAATTGGTGCTCTATATGCATTTTCATTGTGGCTTTCGAATTACATCTATTTGAGTGTTTCATTCATTCAAATGTTGAAGGCTTTGATGCATGTTGCTGTGTATTCAATTGGAGTCATGTTTCGAGGCGAAACGATGGCGAATATGATGTCGATTTCATTTAGGGTTGCAATTGATGCTTATGGTGAGGCGAAATTTGATGCTTGGGGTGTAACCCTACAATTGGGGGCAGTTGCATTTGAAGCTACTAGATTGGTAATGATTCAGATCTTATTAACTTCAAAGGGTATTAGTTTTAATCCGATTACATCGCTTTATTATGTTGCTCCTTGTTGTTTGGTGTTTCTATCAATTCCTTGGATGATTGTAGAGTATCCAATTCTAAGGGATTCGTTGAGTTTTCATCTAGATTGGTTTATATTTGGGACGAATTCTGTTTGTGCTTTTGCTTTGAATCTTGCTGTGTTCTTGCTTGTTGGGAAGACATCGGCTTTGACTATGAATGTTGTTGGGGTTGTTAAAGATTGGTTGTTGATTGCATTTTCGTGGTCTGTGATTAAGGGTATTGTTACCCCTATCGATTTGTTTGGGTATGGGTTGGCATTTGTGGGTGTTGGGTACTACAATCACTCTAAGTTGCAAGCATTGAAGGGAGGAAGAAGATGAAGAGGAAAGAAAAGAAAAAAAAAAAGGCTGATTTAAGTGGTCACGTGCACGGCACGTGACTTTTTTTGGCCGGAAAACGGAGGTCAACGTCGGAGTTTGGTCAAAGGACCCTCCTCACAACCAAAACGCCAAAGGACCTTCTGTGCCACCTTTTTTTTAAAAAGACCTTTCTCACAAGGTCGACTACTTAAAAGGACCTTCCTTGCAATTTTTCCTTTTAAGAAAATGGAAAGAAACAAAATCAAGAATGATGAAAGAAGTAATCTATGACATTGGTACAAAGATCTGCAAGAACTAAGCACTAGTTAGCAATAGCCTATGAATTATGACTGGTAATAAGAAAAGACGACAGTTGTGAGACTCATGATGCAATCCAGGTGTTGGCATGAATTAGAAGAGACACTTACAAATAATATCCCTCATCAGGCCGGATAGTAACTTCAAAATTCATCAGATCATCCTTCCCACTAGGAAACGATATGGTACATGATTTGGGCAGGTTCAGTTCACTGATATCTAGAAAAAGTAAATATTTTAAAGCCACAATATGTAAACAGAAGATGTAACAGTAATGTGAAGCGTAATAATATGTTGATCATACGTCTAATAAAAACCTTCAACCTACACAATGCAGAATTAGTGGATACAAAGGAGTCCAGGACCAAATGCAGCAGATGAGATGTTAATAGATGCCACATGAAACTATTCTAACAAGAATAATGTGTCTCTATTATTATGCCGAAAGATCAGTTTATAACAAGAAACTGGCAAAAAATTGTCAAAGAAAGTGTGAAGCTTGCAAACACTTCCCAGAGCAAATCATGACATAAACAATTAACCATAAATCTGGTCAGGACAGAGCAACGGAGAAGCAAGAATCTCACCGTCCATGCAATCCACACACACATAGAAAGAGATAGTAAAATCTCCAACCCAGTCTCTTATATAAAACTAATGACACGTTCATATATGCATGAGTCTAGGGTAATCGAACAATAGACTGAGAACCCCATATAAATGATGCGCGGATAATGAAACTGAATTACAGAAATACTGTAACGGTGTGATAGATTGGATAATATCCAGTTCAATGGAAGATCTCACACACAAGGTAGTTCTTCAAATCATAACTCTGAACACAACTTACACAAAACCAGACTACAGCACCATATATGGATCCCAAGTTCCCAACTACAGCTATTTAAGAAAGAATACCTTTATGAAGACGTAGTTCGCCAGCTGTTTGCTTCTTGACATTCGTCTTTCCATTAAGATTTTCAGCATTTTCCCTCTGTTTTGCTTTCACTCTGAATAAGTTAATCATCTTCTCTAAATAACAAAATAAAAAGGGTAAGTTCCATTGAATCTAGATTTTCATAACCTTTGAAATCACACACTAAGCATTATTCATTAACCAGTTACCAGAATTTTTTTTTTTTTTAACGAATAGTTACCAAAAGTCATTATACAAGTACAATTTTGAAGTTTTGCTACATAGTCATAAGCTCATACTTCCTCAGTTTTTTTTACTTTGATTTGCCAATGCAAAACTTTAATTATCAATAACTTTAATTCTCCACAAGTAAAAATTATAAAAGTTATTAATTATGATAGTACTTATTGACACAAATTCAAAAAATCCCACATGAATATTTTTTCTTTGTATATTATTCACAAAAAATGGTCAAAAGAGGGGTGGTGAATAGTGTAAAAGTCAAAACGGGTCAAATAAAAAAGAACGGAGGAAGTAACAAATTAACCATATATACAAATTGATATCAAGATTAGTAAACCTAAATCCAATCAAACATACACCATGCTTAATTACTGAATCATTCAGCATAAATTATCAAAAACTGCCACTGAATTTAACAAGTTTTAAATTGGGAACGAATTTACAAATCCAAATGCCAAGATCAAATTGCAGCATCTACGAGTTTCAGATTTGTATATGAGCTTCGCGCGTTTATATAATCAACTAAAGATAAAGTTTCAACAACAAACACAGTAGCATGAACCCTAATTAATTTTGTTCCCATAATTCGTTAAATCCCCTAATTTAAGAGCATAAATAGAAAAACCCCCAAATAAAATTTACAGAACACTGCAGCTGAACTATTTTTATGCAAAAAATCGTGAAAACCCCAATTTATAACCGTAAATTAAAAACCCCCTAAGAAGTTTATAAAATTACCTGAACAACCAATCCCCAAATCTCGAAGATCTTGCCGGAAACTTCCAATATCGTAAACAAAATTAGGCCACCAGCGCAGTTTAGGGAGGAACCTTTAGTTTTGTGACATTGAATTGATTAATGAGGAGAGAGAATGAGAGAGAGGTGGTGAAATAATACCAAGACCGCTCTAAATGATGAGCAAAAAAAAATGCCCACCCACTATCTCTTTCAATAAATCTATTTTGTCCATGAATAAATTTTTTTTCACAATTTCTCTTCCAATGGTGAGTAAAAAATATGTTTGTCCACTACTCTCTCTCTTACTTTTTCAATACCCCACCATTACTTTCTCTCTCCTACACAACACTTTTTTATTTATTAATTTCTTTTATATTTTAACAATATTACTCCAAATAAATAAAAACTAGTCTAAATTTGTGTAACTTATTTTTTTTATTTGTGTCGTTTTTATCGTTAAAATAAAGAATATGGAGGATTTATGGTATTTCTGAAATTATACCAAAATATACCAAAATGCATGTCTATTTATAGAGAATTAAATTTTATGACCGTTGGTAATTTTAATTTATTTTTTAATTAATATTTATTTCAAAATTTGCATTACAAAAAATATAACCATTGCAAATTGCGAGGCCCACCAGAGCACTATTCATCCTCAAATTTGCCCAAGTCTTGGGCATTTTTAGAAATGCTTATGAGCATATTTTTGCATTTCTTCATTTGAACACCATTGTAATGCATGAGCATATTTTTTGCCCACCCAAAATGCCCATGAGCATATTTTTTTATCACCATTGGGAGTGCTCTAACGGGGCGTTTGGAACTTGGGAATGGGAGTTTTGGGATTAAAAGGTGGGAATGGGATTGGGAATTAATTGTTGGGAATTCATGAAAATATACCAATACCTTGTTTGGATAGTGAGTTGGAATATATAGGGAATAAATAATAATTTTACAAATTTACCCTTACTAATATTTCCTTTCATTGTTTTCATCAATGGTAAAAATGTCATTTTAAACTTATTCTCATTCTCATCCATTTATTACCTACCCTCCCTAGGTAATAAAATGGTGGGAATTCTCCCCTAAATATTCTCATTCCCAAACCTATTTTTATTCCCATTCCCATCAAACAAACAAATTTTTTTTTCTTGAATTAGGATTAAAACTCCTAATCCCACCCTCAATTCTCAAATACCAAACACCCCCTAAGAACTTTGGTGACAAAAAAATAATCACACTTCTACTCAAACTTAAAATAACCCAACTTTGACAAATTCGGTAATAAAAATTAAAAATGACGCCTAAAAAGATAATTTGTGCTTGTTTGGCATTGTTTTTTGTTTTCAATTTTGGTTTTTTGTTTTCTAATTTTTTATTCATTATATGACACATATCATATGATTTTGAAAAACAAAAAAACAAAAAACCACAATGATGCCAAACGAACCCGAGATAACTGATTGAGGTTCTTATTAATCTTGTTGTTTAATCGAAGTGATCACAATAATTAAATTTATATATTTATTAAATATATAAATTTAATTTTATATGTTAATAAATATATTTAATTTTATATATTAATTATATATAAATTTAATTTTATATATTAATTTAATTTTATATATGTAAATAAATATATTTATATATTTATTAAATATTTAATCAATTTAGATTAATTAGTTTTGAGTAAATTAAATTTTTAATCAATTCTAAGTAATATGCAATATTCATGCTTTCTACATTGAAAGATTGGAAAGGGATAGCACAATTTTGTCTATGAAACAATGATTATGAGCACCATTTGGGCCTTGTTGATTTTGGGCTTGACAAGCTTTGATCGAGCCTTGAGCTGAGCTCGCCTTTAGCAGTCTCGAGCTCGACAAAGCTTTAGTTTTCCAGGCTCGTCGAGCTTCGATCAAGCTGGAGTAGAGCCTGATCTCACAAGCTTCAAGCTTCAAGCTCGAGCCTGCCTAGAATCGGTCTCACCTCAACTCGTTAACACACCTTACTTCTTTCCATTCTTAACCATGTTTCTCATGGTAACACACTCATTCATCTTGTGGCCATTCTTACCACAATGATTTCACACATGCAGATCTTTTATAGGTACATGCTTATATTTCTTGTACTCCTAAATCAGGGGTGGGCCTTTGTTTGGACGGGCAAGGACCCAGCCCCTCTTAAGTATTTTAAGTTGTTTATTATAAGTAATTTGATGTTTATTTATTGTATATATAAAGTTGCGGTATAGTGGTTAAGTATTGTTATTTTTTAACAAAAGGTTAAGGGATCAAGCCATACCCCTAACTTTTCGGTCCAAGATCCGCCATTGTCCTAAATCCAAGTGGTTTCCCTCGGGATCAGTTCTTCCTATCCTTGTTGTCTGTATAGACAAGAGTATAAAACCTTTTCTACTACTTACCCAGTGGTAGTAATAAGTTAGTTTTGAGCATGAAAGGGTAATTCTTACTCTTGTATGGTGCAAGGTTAGATACTCCTTGCCAGGGGCGGAGCAACGGAGGGGACTGGCAGGGGCCCGGACCCTGTAGCCCAACCCCACGGCCCACATTTTTCTTATTTGGCCCCTGCAGTATTTTTGAATATATAACAATGAGTTTCCTTAATTGTTATTGAAATTTTATTGGCTTAGTTGGTAAGTGTGTATAGAATTGATACTCAAGGTTTGAGGTTCAAAACTTACTAGCATAGTATTTTTAATTTAATTTTTTTTTTTTGGTAAAATATTAAAATAATTACCCAAAGATGCTTTTAACTCTTTAATTTTAAATTTCATAAGCTTTCTCATAACTTCAACCATATTAGATCATTCATCTTATTCTTTCCTCACTTTTTTTTTCGCTCAAGTTCTCTACTAACTTCTTCAACTCTTCTATTAATGAATTTTTTTTTTAATTTCTTCGATCTTCTACTTGTATTTAATCATGTATTTTTTTATTCTCTTATAAATTACCACCTTTAATTATTCTACAAAATTTTATATTTTTGTCTAATTGTTCAGTAATAATTTGTCTATAGATCACCATTTTTAAGTTTTTTTTTTCCTATAAGATATGATAGGTAATCATAAATAAAAAATAAATAAATAAACTCTTAATTTTTTAAAGTGAGTGGTTGATAGTCAACAAGTGAATTTTACACATGATTTATACATAGAAAATGAAATTGCCAATAATTTTAACA